CTGCTGAAAATATCAGTGCCGCTTACGCTACAGCAGAAACAGTGAAATGATTAGATGCAAGCATTTCTAAGGGTCTCCTCTAAAATCTTGTGACATTTTTTTGGAGCTTAGGTGTTTTTTCAAAATCCTTTTGGTTGTCTTCTGTTTTTCTGAGCCGTGGTGGCAGCTACTCACAGTATTGGGGTCCCAGACAGTTTGCCAGTTCTCAGAGCTCTCCTGTGAGTCAGAGGAGTCCCCAGAATCAGAGGCGTTCCCAGAATCAGAGGCGTTCCCAGAATCAGAGGCGTTTCCAGACTCAGAGGCGTTTCCAGACTCAGAGGAGTCCCCAGAATCAGAGGCGTCTCCAGAATCGTAGAGGTTGGAGTTTTCAATGTCACGCCTCACAATGTTCTGCTTTTTGAAAAAGATAAAAAGGAGGGAAAGATTTGAGTTAGTGGATGCCCACTAGTCTTTTGCTCAATAAAGCGATAGCTCTAGTAACTGTGTCTTGGGAAGTTACTGCTCCCAGAGATCTGACTAAAGGGGAGACAGTTTGTGGCCCTGGAGGGCAGGCTGGGAAGCCATTAACACTGTTGTGTCACACCGTACAGGCTTTGTCCAGCTCTGGTTTTCCTGTGTCTGGTGCATGTACCTTTTGAAGACAGAAAGCTCTAACTCACTGCTCTGTTCCCCTCCCACACAGAATGCCTCCTAGGCCAGGTGGAAAAGACGACACTGTTTCCTGCGAACACTGGAGATTTTCCCTTCACGTTAAACGCTAAACTGCATGCTCAGAGTCCAAGCTGCGAGAAAGCTTTCTAGGGAAAGTAAAATAATTTCTTATTGCTCTTTCCCCAGCAGGTACTGGGAGGCAGAGGGTTATGTGCAGTATTTGACTGTATTTTGTGGTCAGTTCCTTCATGCTAATACTTGTTTCTCTCCACACGGTTGCTTTCACAGTGTTCATGCTAATCTCAACAGAGACTTTGTTGATATCAGAGCTAGCAGCTGGCTTTGTTTCCCTTAATATATCAAGCATAGAAATACTTTCCTTGGTATATAAAAAAAATGCAATTTCCTGCTAAGTATCAGACTTTAAAATACAACTTTATTTTCAGAAACGTATTTTTCAGGGGCTATAGCTAAAAGGCCACCGTTTCTTTTGGCAGAGTGTATAACTGCGTGTAGCTGTATCCTTACCCTGTCAGCAAGAGCTGGAGCCAGGAGAACTCCAAGAAGAGCAGCAATCACAATCTGAAATAAACATTTGAAATTCACATCACTTATATCAGATCATCAACTCACAGCAGTTAACCTCAGGAGTATACTTGGCACAGGTAAGAAGACAATTTGAACTCGGAGGGGTTTAGAATATGGCCGCTCCCAGTTCAGTGAACTCCTGGGAAAAAGGTGGTCTGAAATATTTTGTTTAACAGAGAGTGAACTCTTCACCCTGAGATTTGATTCCAGGCGTGGAGCAGATCCATGCCACATCACTGTGCAGGTCCACCTGTTGTAAAGATGTGGAGCCTGAACACAGCGGAAGTGGCATTGAGCATCCCCACGGTAGATCTCATGCCTCAGAATACAGGGCTAATAGTACAAGGGTAGGCACAAACATTTTAGTACAGAAAATTATAATGTTAAACACTTCGTTACCCCTTCACAACATTATACAGTTTCAGTGTCTCAAGTGCTTGTTGCTCAGATTTGTCAGATCTGCTGCTGATATATTTTTGTAATATATAAGATTGTTATGATGAATTCTTCTGTAATAAGAATTATTCTCTTGGAGACAATCCCTCTAACATTGAATCAGTTGCAAACGTCTCCTATTTCACAGGAGGATTTTTGTGAGAGACTCAAGCGTGAGTCTAAGATTTTGGAATTTATCCTGCAAGAATTTCAGGCTGCTGTAAATACCCATTTCACACTCATGCACTTGGATTCTCTCATGTCTCCTGATTCTTTTCCTCGTCTCTCATCAGACAGCTGTGCTGTCACCTTCTACAGCTCGCTGAGACTGCTGACTTGCACCTCGGTTGTGAATGAGAGAATATTGCCCTTTCACTGTCTGACATCTGCATCTCACCCTTGTGGCAGAGCATTTCTCTCTTTCACATTTGAGTAGGCACATGGAGTGAAGTCACTGCCAAAAGGGAAATTTCACCCATGCGGTCCCAGCTCATTTGGCCTTTTTACTCTCTAATCCCTGCATCAATCAGGAATAATTTGTGAGGCACCAAGAAAGACTCAAAATAATTCTAAAACTATCCAGTCGTAGTAGATTTAGGAGAAAGCGATCCATATACTTACAGCGAACCTCATTTTGACGGCAGTCCAGTCAAGATCTGCTGGTAGTTGACGTGTACTCTTACTTTTTATACAGTAATATCCAACAATTAAATCTTAAAATGGGTTTACCTTATTGGCACATGCCCTGTGTTCACAGAATTCTGACAGATTTCCTGGGGAAATGCTCTGATAAGAGGAGATTTTGATACCAGACTGATTGAATTCATTAGGAAGATGAAAGCGAACGTGTCATTCTCAGTTCAATGAATTATTTTAAAGTAACATTGAGGTTAAAAAAAAAAAAAAGCAGAACAAGAGAATAGATGCCTAATAAACTTTATAGTGACACTTTGTGCCTACATGGCAAAGGACTCGACCTAATATTTTATCGAAAGCTGATACCATCTTTAAAGTCAACGGAGGTGGTAACCTTGCTATGCTGAAAATGTTAACTCAGTCCCCAGAAATTTAGGAGTTCATTTCTAAATTACAGAAATCACGGAGTTCTTTTGTTAGCCTTCCTTTCTGAGGTAGTTCAATTAGGATCTGCTCTGCAGTCTTGAGGCCTGTATCTTCACAGAGCCTCTTCCCAAAAGTAGTACCTAATAGTGGACTAAGGGCTATTTCTAGGAAGGGACCAAGAGCTGGAGACAACAAAAAATAATCGAGGAGCAATGGGCATTTTATGGCAACTGTTATTGAGAAAGTAGATGTTAATATTTCTCTGAAATGGATAATTACTTAGAGAGCCAGGGCATCAGAGCTTATTTGCTTCATTTGTTGAGGAAACTGCAAAATCATTGAATTGTTTAGGTTGGAAAAGACCTTTAAGACTACTGAGTCTAACTGCTAGCTCAGCACTGCCAGGGCCACCACTAACCCACGCCCTTGAGCACCTCAGCTACACGGCTTTTAAATTCCTCCAGGGATGGGGACTCCAACAGTTCCCTGGGCAGCCTCTGCTGGGGCTTGACAACCCTTTCTTTGAAGAAAGTTTTCCTAATACCCAGACTAAATCACCCCTGGCATAACTTGAGGCCCATTCCTCTTGTCGTATCACTTGTTACTTGGGAGTTGAACAACTCCAGTTCCCTCATCCTTTACCAGCTTCTTTGTTCTTCTCTGGACCCACTCCAGCACCTCAGTGTCTTTCTTGTAGGGACAGAACCAAAATGAACACAGGGTCTGAGGTGTGGCCTCACCAGTGCTGAGCACAGGGGGACAATCCCTGCCCTGGTCCCACTGGCCACACTGTGGCTGGACAAGGCCGTTGGCTTTCTTGGCCACCCGGGCACCTGCCGGCTCATCTTCAGCTGCTCTCCACCAACAGCTCCAGGGCCTTTTCCACTGGGGAAGCTTTCCAGCTGCTCCTCCCCAAGCCTGTAGCACCACCAGGGGTTGTTGTGCCCTAAGAGCAGGACCCAGCACTTGGCCTGGTTGAACCTCAGATGATTGGCCTCAGCCCATGGATCCAGCCTGGCCAGGTCCCTCTGCAGATCAACACTCCCACCCAGCTTTATGTCACCTGCAAAATTACTGAGGGTGCACTCAATTCCCTCATGCAGATCCTTAGTAAAGGTATTGAACTGAACAGAATGGATACGTGTACCCTCAGATAATTTGGATTTGTTTCTTAGCTCTGTGGGGACTCATGGTCACAGCTGTTACTGGAAGAGCCAGGGAATCTTG